TATTATATTTAATTATTATAATAATTAAATGTTTCAAAGAGATTTGGCACTATAGACCACATTCACACAGTGCGGCAAATAATACAGAAGACAACAGAGTATAATCAGCCCCTGTGTCTTGCATTTGTGGACTATGAGAAAGCCTTTGACTCCATTGAAACTTGGGCTGTTCTAGATTCTTTGCAGCGGTGCCAAATTGACTGGCGGTACATCGAAGTGCTGAGATGCCTTTACAACACCAGTACGATGTCCGTCTAAGTACAGGACAGTCAAACAAAACCTGGTTGGAAACCAATCCAATTGCATTGCGGAGTGAGACAGGGGGATGTTATATCCCCTAAACTGTTTACAAATGCACTGGAAGATGTTTTTAAGACGTTAGACTTGAAAGGACGCGGTATTAACATAAACGGTGAGTACATCTCACACTTACGCTTTTCTGATGATATCGTCGTCATGGCAGAATCGCTGCAGGAACTTCAGGATATGCTGAACAGACTAAATGAATCCTCCCAACGTGTTGGTCTGTGCATGCAGATTCATGCATGCAACATGCAACAAGACAAAAGTTATGTTCAACGATTACGTCATGCCAGTTCCAATTACTGTTGATGGTGAAATTCTCGAAGTTTTCCAGGAATATACCTACCTCGGGCAGATATTGCAACTAGGTAAGAATAACTTCGAGAAAGAGGCTGATCGGAGGATTCAGTTGGGCTAGGCAGCATTTAGAAAGCTCCGTCGGGTTTTCACGTCGCCCATACCGCAAAGTCTGAAGACAAAAGTCTTCAACCAGTGCGTTCTGTCCGTACTCACTTATGGTGCCGAAACGTGGACACTGACGCTACGTCTGCTCCAAAAGCTTAAAGTCGCTCAGCGAGCAATGGAAAGAGCTATGCTCGGAGTTTCACTGGTAGACAAAATTCGAAATGAAGAAATCCGCCGGAGAACCAAGGTTACTGACATAACTTTCCGTGTTTGTAAGCTGAAGTAGCAATGGGCTTGTCATGTCTGTCGCAGAGGTGACAACTGGTGGAGGAGACGTGTTATGGAGTGGAGACTGTGTCTAGGCAAACTTAGTGTGGGACGCCCCCCGACCAGATGGAGCGACGATCTGCGCAAGGTGGCTGGTAGAAACTGGATGCGTGTAGCCGAAGATCGGGCTAAAAGGCGCGCCTTGGGAGAGGCCTATGTCCAGCAGTGAACTGCCACAGGCTGATGATGCTGATGATGATTATAATAAAACCGAAATTTAACTTAGTACTATTGGTAGGACTCCTATCAGATGTGACAAAGCATCTGCTGTAGCATTCTTGGTTCGAAGTTGGCTGCATAATCTAAGGACTGCAGAAGTCACTTCCTTTTTATAGCATAAGGGCGTCAAACGAGTACACTGTCCACTTAATGGATAGTCAATGCTTAGGCCCATATAAGTCCACATCTATTCTTGATTAAGAATAAAAACACAGATGTGTTTTCACACCTAAGAACTAAGATGGAATGCTTCGTTTCCAGTAAAAAAAGGTTTCTGGCTCTCTACACTCACCATGCAAACCACAGCAGCACCTACCATCAGATGGACCTAAAGTCCGTTTGTAACTTCCGTTTTATAAAGAAAGGTTGCAATTGGTTTTTTTTATAAGATAAAGGTGATTAAAATAACAGTTTACCTGGTAGTAAGTGGTTGCAGTGATCCATAGCAATTAAATCTATCCTCGTCTAGGAATCAATACGCCGATGCGTTGTCACGCGTGAAGACTAAAGTCTAATGCCTCTTTTCCACTAAAATGGATCTCCGGCTCTTTACACTTACCATACGAAGCACAGCACATTAAGCTGCTATTTTAAGCTGGCATTGTGTTTAAAAGTGTGTAGGTTTTTCTACTCAAATCAATTTAAATACATTGAACTTTCTTCGGGACAAGTACAACGTTAGTTCGTGTCAAAAGTAACCGTAAAGTCGGTAACGCTGATACATTTAAAGCTTTGATTTTTCATATATCCTCAAGGATTTTGGCCAAAATATGTATTCACGGCTCATGGATACACTGAGATACGTATTTCGAGTAATTTAAAGTAGGGAAGTATTTAAGATAACGATGTTTTGATTGTCAATTTCAATGATGGGAATAACTTTAAAAGTTGTAAACATGTACAGAACTTATGAATACTATAGTGTATTTTATATCATCATGTTTAGTTATAGTGTTTGTCTTGTATTAAAATGTTCAGATATTTCTCATTGATTATAAGTGGTGGTATATCATCTCGTCTATGCTAGGTGTAGACAAAGACATTGGGACTGTAATCATCAGTTTTTCCGGCAAATTTGCCGATAGTGAAAATTGTTCACTACAGTAAAAGAGGTGTATACATAACATTCTCATGTAATATATTAAAAACCTAAAATATGTATGCCCGGCATACGTCATACATACATATTTGTCCAAAGCTTTCACGAGGGCAATGAGAACTAACAAAAAAAATTGTTTGTAAAACAAAATTTAAAGGAGTTACCTATCCAACTCAACATTATAATGCATGTATGAACACAAAACTTACTAAAACTAAATGTTGCTCTATTAGGAAGGTTATTACTTCCTTTAATGAATAAACAATATTTAAAATGTAAAATTTAGTCAAAATTATGGAACAGTAACATTTATTAAAAGCTTACTAGGCCGTAACAATTCAACCCATTCGTAATCATTAATCGATCGAGTGTGAAATATCTATTATGTAATCTTTAATATATATATATATATATATATATATATATATATATATATATATAATAAAAAATATATATATATATATAACAATGAATTAGATTATTATACACATACAAAATTAGAAATTATTAACTCTATTATGAGTTAAAATATAGTACTTAAAAAAAAACATCACATATAGCGTCTGATGCAAACCCTGCCAGTGTTTATAAAATATATTGTCAGGAGACACCTGAGCAACGTCCTTAACTAATTCATTTGCTGAGTTACGTACAGTTTCCCAGAAACTGGCCGTTCTACTAAAAGTCTGGGACGGCAGCTTCTGCGAACATTGTGGACGCACTGCAGTACCGTGGATGTTTCAAAAAAATACGAAAAGCATCATTATACTGTACTCTGAGGATGTTATAGGATTTTTTGGTGTAATTTATCCAAAATTGTCCGGTGTAAAAGCTAATACAATAGGCTTTTAAACAGAGTAATCTTAACATCCTCAGAACACGAGGCAAAGCGACGCGTCAGCATGTTACAACGTATAGCAAGAGCTCTACGTTCACGCTCAATATCCAAGTCGTCACTCTGGTTCTCCGATAACATATGACCCAAGTACCTAAAATTCTTCACAGTCCGAACCTGCACACCATTTATGCTTACTGGCGGTGCTCTCCCCTGACACTTTCCAGCACGAAAGACTAGCATTTCTGTCTTAGACTCATTATATTTTAATCCATGCTGACGAGCACAATTTTCGCAGATGAATATAAGCTTTCTAAGACCGTTGATCGCTGGGAGAAGGAGCACCATATCGTCTGCGTAGCTAAGGTTGTTAAACGCTACACCATTAATGTGACATCCAATTTTGGTACTCCTAAGCTCCTCGATCAAGCCATTAACAAGATTGAAAAGGTCCGGAGAGGTCAACACTTCCTGACGTACCCCACATTCTAGTTTATAGCCACTAGAAGTTGTGTCGTCCCCTACCTAACTTTATTTGTCTGGTTCTCGTACCAGTATCTCAGCAAACCCAGAACAGTGCCAGGTACATTGGACTCATGCATTTTCCTTTATAATATATTATAACTAACAAGGTCAAATGCACAACTCAAGTCCCAAAAGCAGGCGTAAACAGATGTACTACGTCTTTTGTAATAGTTTACAACGTGCTTAACGGACAGTATTGCAGAGTCGGCAGAAACACCGGCACGAAAACCAAACTGAGCATCACTTATCCTAATATTTTTTACAAGTTCGGGCTGTAGAAGTCTTTCAAGCACTTCACAAACTATTATGCCCAGAGAGATAGGGCGGTAATTGGAGATATTAGAGAGGTTACCGGTTTTGTTCTTTACGACTGGTACAACAATCGTCTGTAACATTTTATCAGGCAGATATCTATGTTTAATACATAGGTTAAACATAGAGAAGGTGCTCAACACTCAAGCCATCGTGGCCTGGAGACTTTCCTCGCTTCATATTATGAACTACTTTTATGATATCACTAGCACACAAGGACAAAACCTCAGCATTGGAGATTGTCGACTGAGCATGAGTAATACTCTCCACGTGCATTGGTTTAATTGAAAAATGATTAGCAAACATGTTAGCTATGTCCTTTTTGTCGTTAATCTCATTCACGCTAACTGGCAAGCTACTACGTATATTGCAAGCTTTCGTCGCTTTCCAAAATTTAAAAAAAAAAATTATTTGCTCTATGAGTGGCAAATATATTCGTTCTTATCATCTCTTGATTATTTTGGCACCATTTTAATTTATTTTTAAAAGCCCTACGCGTCGTTGTCATATCGTCATAAATTTTTACGTTTAACGGTTTTCCAGCATTTATCCATTCTTTAAAATACAATCGTGCTTTTGCGTGTAATTCTCGCACATGGTAGTTCCAGCCAGTGACCTGCATCCTAGCTTTCCGGCGACCTTTCGGAGCATCAGACGCATATAATTTACATTTCATAGATGCACGTAAAGTGTTAATAATATAATTATATAACATATCAATAAAATTACATTTTTTATCACAACTAAAATTATCACAATTTTTACAGGGACTAGATTTCTGTAAGTGACTTAATTTCCTATAACAAATTAATGAATATTATTTAATTTCGTCAGGGGTTTTATAACCCCATCTAAATTTATTAACGGGAACACATTCATTATTTGTATAGGTAAAATTTTTATTACATACTAAATTTATATCACAGTCAATATAAAGAGGAAAATGGTCAGACCAACTTACGCTGTTGCCCACACTTACATTAAAAATATTTTTCTTGCTGCTGAAGTAGCCAGGCAGTGATCTAACCATTTAACCGTCCCATGAGCTTCGCTTAAAAAAGTGAATGTTTTTGAGTTGATCCCTAATATGTCTATATCAGTACAGTTCCAAGTTTGTTCTGCACAATAAGCTGACATTTCAGACCCGAATCTAGCCGTAGAATGTGCATTATAATCCCCAACCATTAACACAGCCTCGACCCCACATTCATCAATTATAGCGCTCATGTTGCTCAAAGTGTTTGTGAGCTCAGTCAAATTATCTTCAATGTCTACAGGCCTATACACGTTTATGAACAATATCTGGCGGTTATGAAATGATAGTTTTATAGCTGCTAGCCTATTACTATTGCATTCTACAACGGATACTACAACATCAGATTCAAAAAGAGATTTGCGCCACATGGTCAGACCTCCATAAGGCCAACCACGTAATATGCCTTTCAAAGAATCCACACATGACTTTGAGAAGGAAGCAAAGCTATCGACTATTTTATTAGCAAATTCAAGATCATGCTTTAAGAACCACGTCTCCTGCAAAGCTATTATATCTACTTCCTTACAAAACAACCTAATGTGGTCGATGGATCGATTAATGCTTTTACAATCAAACGATGCCATACGAATTTTCTATAAAATGTGAATATCCATAACTTATTTATTTACTTATCTATTAATTTGACTTAATTTCATTATAGGGACGTAGTTTATATTCTTTAAAGAGCCTAAATACCAAACCTTTCGACCAGAAATCGGGGCTTAGAAAAATATTCGCTTTGGATATTGGTATAACTATTTTCAAAAAATTAAAAGTCATCTCACAATATTGTTTTAGCAGTTCTATAGTAACACAATTTTCACCCTTGTCTTTTATGTAGTCCATTAAAGAACTTTTGGAACCTTCCTTATGTACCCGTGACACGTATATAGTTATACGTATATAGTAGTACATGTTGATTCCACAACTTTTAATTTCGTACACGTTTCAGATGAACCACGCATACTTTTCGATCTGTTATGCCTTTTATGCACAACAGTTGTAAATACAATCTTATTTATATCCTTAATGCTTCTATTATCGGAATCTAATTTAAAACGCTGTGAGGTGCTGGTCGCTACAAGAATATCACGGTATTGAGGTTCAAACAATGACTCAACCGTTTGATTATTACGCTGCGAAACCGGTTTAGCAACTTTAGTACACGCGTTGTCCCTCTCCGTGGCTTGATACATATGCTGTATGCTTAAGTCATGAGCGGTCTGCGATTGCTGCGGATATTGCTTGCGTCCACTGTTTTGTTTTTTGTTGGCCCTGCAATTTGGTAATTTGGTGACTTATTTTACTCTCCATCTTATTTAATTCCGATCTTGTCACGTTGTCACTCCTGAAAGCTTGTAATTCCGCTTTAATATAATTTATATCATTCAATAACTTGACAACGTCTATATCAGTTCTTTGAGCTTTGGCAAGTTCATTCCTCATGCAAGACACGTCCTTTAATAATCTGGTGACATCGAAGTTTTCCAAAGGAACAGGGGGGAGGCGATTTAAATCCTTTGCGACGAAAATCGGCTGTACATCAGGATCGATTTCCTTGAGTAGCTTGATAACGTCTTTTACATATTTTTTTTCTTTTTGTCATCTCCTTTTCTGTGAATGTTTCTTTCTCCACAAGATGTATACAATACATTTTTGCCGTCTTCCATTTCTCGTCCGTGAAATTAGTAATACATATTTGTAAAATGATTTATTCATCCAAAATGTCTATTTTATTTCTTATAAACGTTAGAAACTCGTTTATCACTACTTTTTTCGCCATCGCTTAAGTCTTTTGGACCACACGTCATACTACGATTATTCACGATACTATAGTATGCACTTACTTACTAATTACTTTCTATGGGATAAATTTTTAACGTTATCCCATAGAAGGAAAAAATTTTAAATTTGATAATTTTTTTAAAAATGAGTTTATTCGTATGTTATTAAATTCATATTTTTCATCGTATTTTAACCTATCTATTTAGCTTTTCATTAAGCCAAAGCAATAATATTTTCTGGCTTAACAGTATCGGTAAAATTTTATTATATCTAGTATTTGCAATATCTGTTGTTTTTGACAGATCAACATTTGTTTATATTTGTTTCTAATGTTCATAAAATATAAATAGTTTTGACTTGGTTACTGGTTTTAGGATATGCCTCCTTTATTTATATTCCATTTCCCGCTGTTCCTTCGATACGTAATTATTGCACAATTTGACATTTTTTAACTAATATGCATGCAGCCACGCTTCACACGAAAATTGTAAACGATTGTAAATTACTACAATGTATTTTTTTAAATATTTATCAAAGGGGATATGGTTAAAAGAGCTAGAAAAGTATAGAAAGAAAAAGTTTTCCTTCTATATGTCGGAATATTGGCATAATATTGTACTCAGTTACATATTCATTATCCGTACGGGACTAAGTGTTATTATGATTTGAAAATGAAAACGTCTTCCTCATCACAAAACTCAAGATTTTTTTAATTAAAGATATTCAAAACTTGCAATGATGCTCTTCTTTAAAATATTGAAAATAAGGTGTAATAAATCAGGCCGTTTTTTTACGATCATTTAGCGCAACCGCTGCGTTTCCCATGAAGTCAGCAGAGTTGCCTCGCAGTATTAGATTTTTGGTAAGATGCTATGTTGGTTAACACCGCGTGCGTCATTGTGAGTCCACGGTGACCGAGTTTCCCATCAAGTCAGCACTACTCTCTCTACTAATACCTCGTGGAAATAATGTAGAAATGTTGTGTGGGAATATGAGGTTGCTGCGTAGTTCACGGTATTGTAAGGAGACATTCATATAACAGCCCTGAGAACAGCAACTATTGCTGAGTCTTGAGTTGATGAAATATTGCTGTCTACTGTGGTTCAGATTTTCCAGGTTTCGCGCAGATGGCTTCTTTAGATGGGGATTGCGACGCTTTTCTAGTGCACTGCAATAGTCCGTAACATTTTTAAGTAACAAGGCTTGTAAATACGAGTAAACTTACTATCATTATAGTGTAGAGTGGGATTGTCGTATAGTATAGATATTTCGACCAAACTTGGTCAACTTGTAAAATCAACCGATTTTCAGATTTGACATCAGATTATGTTGAATTTCATGAAATCTCTATAAGTTATGTATCTCTTTAATAGGTAAGTTTTGTGATCTTCAAAGGCTGCCCTTTTACTCGGTCGTTGATGTTAGTGATGGTAAACTCCGTAGTATACAGAAAGCAGTTAATTGGGAGGGTAACCAGGTAAGTACCATTTAAGATGCTGTATACCTCTTGCCCGCACTGAGTATGTTTCTTCGTGGCGTTAGGGAATGACAAGACGTAATGTTTCTCATCAAGTACGTCTAAAGTTGTTCTGGACAGAATGATGGTAGTCGACTGGCAATTCTTGCAAAGCGATTAATTGATGGTGAGTTCTTGCGTGCAATCTGGATGGCAAAGCGATTAATTGATGGTGAGTTCTTGCGTGCAATCTGGATGATATCAAAGCTGGTGGTCCATCTTCTCACTACAGAGGTACCAGTGACTGTACTTCGGGAATTTAGCCTCTATGTGTATAACCGTTCCTGTTTGATGCTATCAATGGATAGGAAGGGATGGGAGCAAGCCGTTATTTATTAGGAGCCACACTTATTTAAAGATAATAATTATTTTAGTTCTAATTGTTATGATGTATGTTCTTTACTGTATATTATAGGACTAATTTATGAAACATGCTATTAAGAACCTCGACACTTAACATTGTGTGGTGAGTATTTGAGACGTACTCACCACTCAATATTAGAGTACATTGGAACGAATGAAGACTAACCTATTTTCGATCCAAATCAGCTCGTCTAATACGTCGTCTATGTTTACCGTTATAATAGCTAGATATTGGGCGTGCTTAGCGAATTTTATGAGACTCGAATTTCTGTAAGCATCAGAATCGAAAATAATTTTTAAACTTTCATTTATTTTTATTTGTATTTCAATTAAATTAGTTATTATTTTAGAATGCTTAGCCATCCACTCGTTATTTAAGCTTACATAGGTATTATGTTGACTGGTAAGTTGATTATTATTATGAAGAATTTTGAGCATTATGCAATAAGTATTTGGGGTTTGTGACTTCGATTTCCACATGAAAAAATATTATGACAAAAAAAATGGCTGTTTAATTATGTGCAAGTCATTCTTTGAGTTTTGGCTGGTGATTTTTAGTAAATTTGAATTAAACATTTCCGAAGTTTAACATAATATCAATCAGTATTTTTACTTAAACGTTACCCCTACACTAAGATTTTCTCTTGTATCGTGGGGGCAGTTTACAAACATAAATTGCACTAGGACAAACATCCAGACCCGGAACAACTATATGCAGGCCATACAAATACTTCTTACGTGCGGGATTCAAACCCGCGACCCCCAGCGCAGCCACTCATTGCTAAGCTACTGCGCCACGGAGTCGTCAAATGACCGTTAGCTTATCTAGTAGCTACTGTCTAGGTCTAACATGAAATACGTACTAGCGCTCTACAAACGACACATTAATATTTAAATTCACATACTTGTTTGGCTTTCACAAGAACAATATCATTTTATATGAAACTTGAGTAGAATCCATACCAATATTTTATGCTCTCAATGCGGGTCGAAGTCGGTATTATGTCCAAAATATTTTCCTTGCTGCGATTGATATAATGGACAGTCTAATGATGTAGGTACTTTAAAGATAGCTAATATTTCAACCAAACATTACGATTTCGCATTATCGTTGTACAAAAGTAAGTTATTTTAAACCAAAGGTGTATAACTAAGTATACTCATACATACTTTACTAGCCTAATCTATAAAAATAAATTTAAATACGGTATTCCTTACAAGGGCTTGACAATATACAAAGTTAGGTAAGTCAAATCGATTGACCTCTTTACGACTTAACTCATACGAGGTATGAATGTGTTTAGAAAAAAACCTTCTTTGTTTCCACGGCCATAGTGGTAACTTTTTTGTATAAAATATGAGTGACAAACGACCACACAGTCCAGCTGATGGTAAGTGGATGCTGTGACCCATGAACATCTACATCTATCCCTCGATTAAGAATCAAAATGAAGATGCGCTGCCACCTCCGAGGACCAAGACAGAATGCCTCGTTTCCCGCAAAAAAGGTCTCGGATTATCTACATTTACCATACGAAACACATCAGCATTTAACCTCCATTTTACGCTGGTATTTTGTGAGAATGTGGTCCTTCCCCGGTCGAACGGCCCCATTCGTGCTACAACCTAGCTTCTATTCTATTCTAACTTCAGCATGGCTCTATCACGTACCTAACGTTATATGAACAACCAACCTATAACCTCTTCTGTCCACTCCTAAGCAAATATCGTCTGTAGTTTTCAGCTCTTGCAAGCCAGCCTAGCATAAAAAGGTTCACAGCAGCATTAAAATAATGGGTGCGTTTGGCAGAAAAAAGCGCTAGCAAGCGCTTATAAGCGCTAAAATAGTTTTCGGCCAGGACACGATTGCTACTTCAGTAGCGCTGACACAATCCGCCATTTTGCTTATTTAATTTGTTT